TGCATCTTATATATAATGAACTGTAAACTAAACTGACTGACTCTGTCATCAAGTAATTCAAAGTTTCTATTCACGAATTTTACAGGCCTTATGTTATGAATTAGATACTTGTAGGAAATCATGTACTTGTTTTGAGAAATTTCTTAACTATGGTCTTGAAATTGCGTTCATATTAGTAGTAGTAAAGAAATTTTTACAATAGATGGTTAGCATTGAAATTTAGGAGACGCTTTTTATCCCATTTAGGATTCTTTATCTAGATGTCAGGACAGAGTGGGTTGAAGAATGCTGGTCGGCGGCCTAAGCTCCATTGCGAGTAACAAGCATAAGTAAGTAAGTATCTGGATGTATCCGGATCTTAATATTAATGTTCACATTGTGACTCAAATCTGGTAATCTTCACTACAAATACGACAGAACCCAGGTGTCAAATTTCATTATTAGACATAATCCATCTATTCTAGAAAAAACACATAACAAACAAGCTATATCTAAGTAATCTACACAAGATGCAAATATATGATAACAAAGATCGGTTAGATTTTAGTTCTATATATCAACAATGGGATAACTTAGACCCCTTACAAATAGTGATATAACACATCTCTAAACACTTGTCTTCTAATGTTCACTGCTGTAAGAATATTTCCTCTCAGAAAAGTTTCAATTTCAAAAGTTATATTATGTCTATACTACTGGTCGAAGTTGAATTTAGAATGTATATTGAATCATTTTACAACATGTCAACTGAATTCATTATTGATGATAGTTTTAATAATTCTTATAAGAACTCAAACTTAAATCTCATTTAAACATAATCTAGTTTATAGTAAAGTTGGATAGTGACTAGCATTGAAATCTAAAACAGGCATTTCACCCTATTTGAAACACGTCAGTTAGATGTGTGCTACTGATATTAATAGATATAAGTAGTATGTATTGTCCAGTAGGCCTCAGCATACATAAGGGGAAAACCAAGGTCATCAAATTCAAAACGGAGAACAGCAATCCAATCGCTCTGGATGGCGAAACTCTGGAAGATGTAGAATTCTTCACATACATGGGAAGCATCATCGATGAACAAGGAAGTTCAGACGCAGATGTAAAGGCGAGGATTGGCAAAGCAAGGGTCGCATTCCTACAATTGAAGAAAATATGGAACTCAAAACAACTTTCAGCCAATATCAAAGTCAGAATCTTCAATACCAACGTCAAGGCAGTTCTACTGTACGGAGCTGAAACTTGGAGAACTACTACAACCATCATCAAGAAGGTACAAGTATTTATAAATAGCTGTCTACGCAAGATACTCAACATCCATTGGTCGGATACCATCAGCAATAGCCTTCTGTGGGAGAGAACAAACAAGCTTCCAGCTGAATTGGAAATCAGGAAAAGACTATGGAAATGGATAGAACATACACTACACAAATCGTCAAACTGCATCACGAGACAAGCCCTTACTTGGAATCCTGAAGGAAGGTGGAAAAGAGGAAGGCCAAGTAACACATTACGTCGGTAAATAAAAGCAGATATGGAAAAGATGAATAACAACTGGAAGGAGCTGGAGAGGATTGTCCAGGACAGAGTTTGATGGAGAATGCTGGTGGTCGGCCTATGTTCCTTCACGAGGAGTAACAGGCGTAAGTAAGTAAGTAAGTATTTATTATCAATCGAAAGTAAAATGCGTCTAGGCGGAAGGTTAAGAAGATCGAAGAAAAGAAAACGGCAACAAAGAATGATTGGTGTGAAAATGAAAGAACAACCAAATCTGAGACAATTGATTGAGATTTTGCAAATGAAATATCTACTGTATGGTTCTTAGATTTTATTAAGATGTTCTGTAATTTTGTGTTCAAATACATTTCATTGTCTCCACTTCTGTTCGTGTTCATTACAGATGCATCGATATCCTACTGTTGTTACTCATAATGAGATGGAAACCTTAACATTTTTTACTTCAAACAATCCAATGTTTCAATTCTATAAAGTCACTAACTTGTTTAAAAAATATACATACATGATATACATAATAGTTTCTTTTATTTATCCTCTATTAGTGCTAAGGATGCGCATACACCCCCCCCCTCCGTACACACACACACTCCAAAAGCAACCTAACCAGTTACAATTATTCACAGTAAACATTAAGCATATTTATAGTTAAGGTCAAATCTTAAGATCAGTATAACTATGATCATTCGAATCATTTTCTGCTACAAAACATTACCCCTATTTTACATTAATTGTTATTATCAGTAGGTCATTTATTCTGTAACCTGAATTATTTGCTTCATTTTTATCATCATTTTTTTTCTCTCAACTGTTATCTTATAAGAGGTAAAAACAAAAAAACAAAAAAAACAAAGAAAGAGAAGAGAAGAGAAAAGAAGAGAAGTCAATTCGATTTGTCACAACTACCCTGTTATTCAATTTTATTTTTTTCAACGACAACAACAACAAAATGTTTTAAATGTTTTCCAATGAATTTTTAAATATATTTTTTTCTTTTTTCTTCTGTGTTGTTCTCTTCATTCTACGCTTGCATACACTTGGGAATGTTCTTTGATCTTATGTTTGGGTCATATCTTTAAGAGATAGAGAGGGGGTTGGGGTGGGGTGGGGTGGGGGGGGAACGACAAACAATGTACATCAGTTAAATGTAAATAAATCACTAATGATAAGTAAATGGATAGATTGACTAAGTAGTTAAGTTAATAACCATATAGATAGGATGGTAGATAGGTAAAAGGTAGTTAAGTAGGTAGGTAGGTAGGTAGGTAGGTAGATGGGTAGGTGGATAAGTCGAAAGATGGTTAATAAAATTAACAATTTGTAGGTTAAAAACTTCTTTTTTATGAGATTAAGAACTACAGAAAATGTATAACTGAATGTTCTGAATTTAGAGTATTGGAGAAATAAAATAAAGATACATTTTAATTCACTTGATATTGTTTTACTTGAATCTTCCCATTGATGTTTTAGGACTGAAATTGATCAGTCTCTTATTGGCATATGTGCATACTGAGATGCAGGTACATCCAGCTGACGAGTCCCAAACAGGACGAAACGCGCATCCTGGATTCCACTGCTAGCCACTATCCATCTTTGCTAATAAAGATACATTTTATTAAGATCACTTGATGTTTTTTTATTTGTATCATCCTATTGTTATTTGGCACTGCAATTGATCAGTCTCTTGTTAGTACATCTAGCTGACGAGTCATGAATAGGACAAAACGTGCGTTCTAGATTCCACTACTATCCACTATTCATCTTTGCTTAAATCTTGTTGAGTTGGGTTTTTTTGGTCTTGGTAAAAGCGATCAGATTAAACAATAACAGTATCATTCACGGTGCCAGACAAATTTTCATAGAAATCTAATCGAAATAAAGATGTAAGTGGTTTAACAGAAAAGTATTCTTAACCTGAAAATTCAATACTATTTTACTGATAACTTTTGAAATAGAATGAATTGAACTGATAGAATATGATTAGCACTAAAGGACTAAACAAACATGATATCGATCAGTACTTTGTGACTAATCAATTGTAATTGTATCAGTCTTACAAGAAGTTAATCAAGCTTCAAATAGTTCAGTGATAGAGTCTCATACTGTAAGTCTGAACGATTTGACTTTGAATCATATTGGGAGCATAGATCTCCACAAGATTGTATGTTTTGCTTGCCAACAAGTGACAACTAGTTCGGTACCTAGGTTCAAGGCTTTTGTTCTGAAAGCTCAATTCACGTGAAATCAAAGAATAGTACAAGCAATGTCGAAAAACTTAGACTAGCGGTCAAATTTTAAACCAGAATAACACTTTATTATTTAGAGATTTGTGAGTAATTATATTTGGGTAGTTGGAAATAAATCTCAGGAGACTTCATTTTACTTATATTTCTAATTCGTCGGGGCTCACCATCATGTTTTATCAACATTCTGGTCTAAAAGTTGATGCTTCGCATAGGATTTATATCAATAGCTTTGAACTTAATCTCTAGACCACTGAGCCAGGATCCAATAATGTTAATGTCCAATTTCGATCAATATACGATATTGTGCAACCACCTTCCACTGTCTTCAGTCGGCAACTGCCTCATACTGGACACGGTTAATCGGTTCATGATATCCAAAAGAATTAACAATCTCAACAACCGTTTACTGATAATTATCATGTCGTCCTTAGTGACTAATTCTGAGGGATAATCCTCGGAGTTCTAGTGAGAAACGGTGACAAACGGTGTTCAATCTATGTCAAGAGTGAAAGAGTTATGTACCTCAGGTAACAGACAGAGTGTTATGCAAGGTCATGAATTAATTGAAGTTAGACATTAGTACCGTAGGATCCCGCTCAGTGGTCTAGAGGTTAAACGTTCGTGTGAGAAACTGAAGGTCCTGGATTCGAGTTCTGTACGCGGAATCGTGGATGCACACTGCCAAGAAGTCCCATACTAGGACGAAACGGTCGTCCAGGGCTTCCAGGTTTTCAATAATGGTCCAGCATTGGTCAGTTCATGATCGCAATTAAAAATATACATGCTCATTCACGACAAGGCTAAAATATCCTTTGTTCAACTCATTAATGTACAGCTGTGATTGTACAAACCTGAAGAGATTCAAACTGAAATGAATTAGTTATCAAATGCCTTATAGTATTTTAAAGGTGTTTTCGTTGATAACACTCAGCTTTTTCAAGAATAACAATGAGTGATACATCGTTCATTTATAATTTACATTGTCAGTTAACGCTTGACTCCAAGAGGAATGAATAACAATCATCATCACTATGATGATTTACACAAAGTTTTATCTACATTAAATACATGTTTTCCTCAACTGTGTTATCATTTCCACATGAACGAAAAAGCTTTGGAAAGTGGAATTCTTCGGAAAAGTTTATCATTTAACAGACAGACAATATAAGTGAATAAATAAAAACTCACGTATATCCTTTGATCTTATTACATGTTAAAACTAGAAATTAGAGATTTTCTTTAAGATGATGATGATGATGATGATGATGATGATGATGATGATGATGATGATGATGATGATGATGATGATGATGATGATGATGATGATGATGATGATGATGATGATGATGATGATGATGATGATGATGATGATGATGATGATGATGATGATGATGATGATGATGATGATGATGATGATGATGATGATGATGATGATGATGATGATGATGATGATGATGATGATGATGATGATGATGATGATGATGATGATGATGATGATGATGATGATGATGATGATGATGATGATGATGATGATGATGATGATGATGATGATGATGATGATGATGATGATGATGATGATGATGATGATGATGATGATGATGATGATGATGATGATGATGATGATGATGATGATGATGATGATGATGATGATGATGATGATGATGATGATGATGATGATGATGATGATGATGATGATGATGATGATGATGATGATGATGATGATGATGATGATGATGATGATGATGATGATGATGATGATGATGATGATGATGATGATGATGCAATCACAGATATACTGTTAACGGTAAATATCATGATATAACCTTTTTTAAGTCATTAATTTTATGCATGATTTAACGTTTTGTTAGACCATCCTACGTGACACATATTCCACAATTCCGTTTTATACATTCGTCACACTAATTTAATCCTTTAATTATCGTATTGTGTTCTTTAACTATTTACAATCGTGATTGGATGGAATACTACTCTAACTGTATTCAACTGGTCTCATACTTTTGGTGTTTAAAGAATAAATTTCTACAAGATCCTAGCAACTTATAGTAATTCGCTTACTGAGTACTAAGTAATAATGACTAATTGAATAATATCTAATTCCCAGGCTGATCAAATGTGGCTGTCTAATAGTGACTGTTTGCATTCAACTAAATAATCCGATCTGGTGGTACATTTTATTCGATGTTATGGCGATGGACACAATCAACATGATGTCCTTGCTATACCCTAACTTTGTTTACTAGTTACCATTCCGTTGTAAGTTATATTTGAAGATTCTAAAGAAGTGAACTAGGCTGAATGATTTGGTTTCATAGTACGAAAGATAATACCACTGTGCTATCATTTACTATCAACAACTTATGATTAAAACAGACTTGTGATAATACACGGTATCTATGATTCGTTGTAAAGTGTCAAATACACCGAATAAAATATTTCTGAAAGAGGCATTACTTAGGGCAATATTAATGTGAGGATTGTTCAGCTGAAAGCCTTCAGTTAAGCAACGCTTGAAAATCAAGTTGCATTGGCCAACGGTTATGTCCTAGTATTGGATTATTCATCAGTACACACCGACGATGTTATCAAGGCTCCAAACCCTTACCAATAGAGTTCAATCATTGTCATTAAAAACATTGAATGAAAACGGTAAAATATCATAATAATACTAAAGTTAGGAATGTGGATACAAATCCATATAGTGCAACTATAATATCGTCGTAGAAAGAATTGACAATTTTATTATATTCAATAATTAATTCAATGCTTAGAGTATTACTATAAACAAGCTACAATGTAATTCAATATAGCTGTGTTTATCCAGACTTGGAACTTATCAATTGATTATATCCATAAACCTAATATATATAAATCAAACTATGTGGAAGCTACCATTTACATATAAATGATTTGTGCTTTCAAATTTAATCATTTCACATTATAAAAGTGGGTTCAATATCAATGAAATCTATCAGTCAATAACGTGGCTGCACACTGCTGAAGTGTCTCATAATAGGACGAAACGGTCAGTCGTTTAATTCTTCCGGGTTGTGGATGGTGGTCTAGCTTCAATCGACTCATGATCTCAAATATTAAATTTAGTATAATATCCACAAAAACTTCTGATATTAATCAACATAGGTTCACTAGTGACTGGCTTCAAGAGGTATTTCCTGGAGTTCTAGTAAGAATCAGTGATCAGTGGAGTTCAATCGTGTCTATTGTGTGATAGTAACTCACTGAAGATAATGGTGGATGGTCGCTCAATTTCGTGGATTCGTTAAAGTTAGACATTAAAACCGTTGGATCCCAGCCGGCTCATTAGTCTAGAGGTTAAGCGCTCACACACGAGACTGATAGTTCCTGAGTTTGAATCTTGGGAGGCGATGTCGTGAATGCGCATTCCTGACGAGTCTCACAATAGAATGAAACATACATCCAATACTCCCAGTTTTTCCATGATGGTCTAGCTTCAATTAACTTATAATGTCAATTATCGAAATGATGATAATATCCACAAAAACCCCTTCGGATACTAATATCTAACTATCGACTTTAGTTGATTCCAATTGTGGTCACAGCTTCTCATTACATGTTAATCAATGACATTTGTATCTTTTCATTGTAAAATAAAATTTATTGAATATCGCGTGTAATTAATTCGCTTTTCTCTTATTAGTAGGAAGGGTGTAAAATTTTAACACAATTTTTTTATCAATAAGAATGGTGTTACCCTCTCACAGTGTGTGTCTCTTACTCTCCCCCTCTCTCTCTCTATCCCCCCTCTCATTCTCGCTATCTCCCCTGTCTCTCACTCTCTCTGTCACCCTCTCAATTAACTCTTAGTTTGTTAGAAATTAATGAATGAAACAAATATTGATTTAAATAAATAACAGAGAGATTTGTTTCGTTTTTTTCTCCTTATTTTCTTACGCTTCACTTGGTTCCTAGTCTCTAATTATAAAATAGGTTGTTGTGCATATATATATATATATATATATATTATATATATATATATATATATATATATATATATATATATATATATATATATATATATATATATATATATATATATATATAGAATGCACAACTAAACACACCCTAGGGGTTATTTCAAATTACTAGAAACTTATTCGTTAATTAACTGTCCTTTTGTCATAGATACTCTCTCACACACACACAATATATATATGTATACAAGAACCAATACTAGATGGATATACACATAAAAGAGGTTGTCCACGAAATGATTTTCTTACAAAGCATAGTTCATTCATTCACTATTGGTATTCTAATTTATTTCAACTTCTATAGATCAAATCACAGGTTTTTGAAGTAGTAAATGGTACTAATCAGTAAATCATTGAAAGTAACTGTCTATTAGCAGGATAACTTTTGAATATTGTCAAGGTCAGCTTTTATGATTACTTATTATACAATAGAGAGTGTTTTTGATAACTTATAAGGTAGTCCTTAACAGTTAGCTAGATAATTATTACATCATCACTAAATATAAGAACAAATATCTGGAAATTAGAACTACTTACTTACTCCTGTTACTCCTCGTGGAGGAGCATAGGCCATCCACTAGCACTCTCCATCCAAATCTGTCTTGGATAATCCCTTCCAGTTCTTTCTAGTTGTTATTCATCCTTTTCACATCTGGTTTTACTTCCCGACGTAATGTGTTCTTTGGCCTTCCTCTTTTTAGTTTCCCTTCGGAATTCCAAGTTAACGCATGCTTTGTGATGCAGTTTGATGATTCCCTGAATGTATGTCCTATCAATTTCCATCGTCTTTTCCTAATTTCCTCTTCAACTGGAAACTTGTTTGTTCTCTCCCACAGTAGGCTGTTGTTTATGATATCTGGTCAATGGATGGAGATTAAAATATCTTCCCACAATCGTATTCATCACTGATTAATGGAAAAATATCAGAAGATGCTAGTCCTCTCACTATGTAGTTGTATACATGTGATTACCATAGGAAAACTCTTGAATTTATAATCTTTTATAAGTAAAAATGGGTGGCGGCTAACAGTTACATCCAGGATGTATGTTCTATTTTATTTAGGACGCGTCAGCCGGATGTACCTACATCTCGGAGTTGATATTCACTCTGAAACTCGAACCCAATAACGTTCGCTTCAAATGACATCGTGTTATCATCCATAATTTTGAAAAACTTTAAATCATGTCAGAATTAAGACAATTACTCAGTAACGATACTGAGTAATAGTGAGCTAAACTACAGATCGACTGAAGTTGGAAATATATGAACAGACCAGTTAACAAATCTAAACGTCCTACGTTATATCTCTGTTGATGAGTTGAATATATGTGTTGTTCAAATGTCTTGTACTAAAATAAAACAACTTCCTAATCCTCCATGGTTTTCACTTATAACTCAGCTTTAGGTAATTCACTAAAAACTCGTATATATATAGAATATTGTATGTGTTCTGTACAGTTTATTAGTTAACAGTAATGATAAACACAACTGTAGGTATCATGAACCAAGTCTACTATATAAACTGATTATATAAAAATTCTGTTACAAATGGCATAATCTGGATTAAACACATTTTAATCAATAAACTCATCTAGGTCATAATTGTGACATCATGAATTTTACCGTCAGAGAAGTGGAAAATCAAAACAACACACCAGTGAATACCACTAGATGAGTTTAAATTAAAAAAAAAGTTCTGATCAATAAACGTTATGTTCATTGACTAATTCAAAAGTCATAGGTGGTTTCTTTTGGAGACATACACATTAGAGTGAAACAGTAGTCCAGTGTTTACTGATATTAGGAAAAAACTCTGGAAGCGGATAGAATATATATTACAAAAATTATCAAATTGCATCACAAAGCAATCGTTAACTTGCAATTCTAAAGGGAAACTAAGAAGAGGAGGACCAAAGAATACATTGCACTGAGAATTAGAAACAGACATGAAAAGGATGAATAGGAACTGCAAACACTTGGAAAGGATTACCTAGGACAGAGTTCGATGTAGAATACTGGTGGGCAATGGCGCAGGTGCATACACTCTTTGTGTTCTCCCAAATTTTGGTCTCCTTATTCCTCCTTGTCACTTTTTTTTCTCTTTTCAAATTTATTTCACTGGATTATACTCTTTAAGTAACATCTCCAAACACTAATCTTCCCGATTACTGCTTATACTCTTACTACCTCTACCACTATGGGATTTGAATCGATCACTGCATCTCTGTGCTAATGTGGTGTGGCAACTCGAACTGATGTACGTACGTACGAAGTTCTACGTTGTTACTGACTGACTGACTGGTCAGCCTATGCTCTTCGACGAAGGGTAACAGGAGTAAGTAAGTAATTTTAGTGCATATTACTATTCAATATGTTTATAACATACAATTTTACCAGTCATATCATAACACAATAATATAAATTTATTTTATTTTTAATCAATAAATTCCCTATAGGGTAATTAATTTAATTCAGATTTTCACCTATGGAAAATAATCATTCAACCATTCTTATTATTGCGTGTTATTATTTGAATAAATAAAAAGAACTAATCCTATTCCGTGTATACCGCTGTTGTTTTAGCACTCCCTCTTCCCTCCCTCTCTCTTCCTCTCTCTCTCCCCCCTCTCTCCCTCTCTCTCTCCCCCCTCTCTCCCTCTCTCTCCCCCTTTCTCTTTCTCTCGGGTTAGAAATGATCAGGATTTTTCCAATGAGTTAATTAGATCTAATTATCTTCTTTATTATTTTTTTTTTCTAATCGTAACCCTGTTTAACTCATTTCT